GAAAATGTAATAAACAGAAAATTCAGTGTTTTGCAGTTGGATGTGGAATTTATTTTACTCCTGAGACCAGATTTTTTCGCACTCGTGAAAATATAAAAAAAAAAAAAAACCTGTTCCACAAGAGAAATAAATTCCATAATTAACTACAAAACGTCGAATATCCTCTATATCTCACAATGCAAAGTGAGAAAATAAAAGTTTGGATGATCTATGTCATGTTCTAAATGTTCTTATGTTCTATTTGCTCCCACCCGGTAAATTCAAAATTTAGAACATGACACAGCCCCACAAACTTCTTCAGAAGCCGACAAAAAATACTCTGTAAGATCTTTACCCCTCCCTAGTGCTGATTTTCAACCTTAATAGTACTTTTAATCGTACCTTTTTTATGTTAAACATCATATAGGTCAGATAAGCTCGCTGATCCCTATCATGCGTTTCCGAACTCTTTGAGCATGTGTCAGAAATTATACCACAAACCTCGAAGCACAATATTGTATTAAAGCTGTAAATAGTTTGAAATTAAAATTGTATTGAATAATTTTTCTATTAATCATTGCTGTGCTGAAAAGCTTTAATTTCTACATAATTTTTTTTTTCAATTTTCATGTACAATACATTCTTTTAAACCCAATTGCTTTTGCGATTTCGGTTATAAATAATGATAGATTAGATACAGATTAGAGATTTCCTGTTATAAAATAAAAGCATGAATTTCCCCCTACCGGGGAGTGTAGCTGCCTCCGAGTGTGTCATTTAGTCCTCTTTCAATTATCTTATTATTACATGTAATTATAAATTGCCGAAATAATATTCTATTCGAGTACGCCAGTCCATTGATGATTTTCTTTGAGAGATATTTAGCTCTACTGGTAAAAGACCAGTAAGTTTATGCGACAGTATGGTGTCTGCCGTCCGTCCGTCTGTCTGTCTGTAAACAATTTTTCAAAATGTTAGTCCTCCTACAGTTTTGGTCTGATTTCAATATAACTCTAAGCTTCATGATTCTGTGAAACGGTTTTTGATTTTGATGAACGATGCTTCCATGGTTACTTAAAATAGAAATTTCTCTGAGATACTTTCAAAACGGTACTACCCCTACAGTTTCGTCTGATTTCTATATAACTTGGCACACAATTAGATTAGACTGAGATACATAACTCTGTTTAATTCTGCTTTTGATATTGGTGAAGTGTTACCATGGTTACTAAAATAGAAATTTCTGTGAAATACTTTCAAAAACGCTACTCCTCCTACATGTACAGTTTTGTCCAAATTTTAAATAACTTGGCATTCGAGTACATTGAGATACATAATTGTATTTATTGTTTGTTTTTTTATTTTGATGAATGATGTTGCGATGGTTACTATAAATAGAAATTTCTTTAAAACTTCTTTGAACCTACAGTTTAAGCCTGATTGCAATGAATCTTGTCACAAAAAGAAACTTAACCAAGGATCTTATTTTATTTATTGCTGTTGCAAAGTTTCAAGTCCAAGTGCTCCTTTTCTCTTCCTTTGATATTAGTACAAACCAGTAGAGCTACAGTCTTGTCAGAGACTTCTGTTTTTGTTGTTTTTTTTTTTTTCAAGTCTTCTTCAGTGAAGAAAATAAATAATATGTCCTTGATGGTCACACCCGCCATGAGCCCTATTTATTGATCAGGTAGACACAATTTTCTGGAGTCAAATTTAGTATACAAAGGCCTTACAATTGTTATGAAATATGTCAGTCAAACTACGGCCCAATAGTAGGTGATAGTTGCTAACAAGGTCCTTATAACGACCAAAGAATTTACAAAATGCTGACTTTAAATAAGGTTGTCGAAATCCCTGTAACATCAACATATCTGTCAGTAACCTATCTCGGTTTATACATTGATCGTACTCAGAGCTTGCTCTTGAGTATCGAATAAGTTGGAAGACATAAACACCATACGTAGGTGAGAGCGGAGTATTACTACATAAATATGGAAAGTTGACGTTGGAAAAGCTGAGGTCATCTCTTTTGTTCAACCAATTTGGTTTTTAGTTGGCCCTTATTGTCTATAGTAAGTAGAACATCCAAATATGAAACAGATGTAGCATACTCTGAAGTGTTATCGTTCAATGGGATGTATCGAGACGACATACGAGGGGTTATCAAAAAGTTCGTGGAATGATGTCATAAAATTAATACTTTGTAGACTTTGTGCTCACAAAATTTAGAGTTAGAGAAGTGTTGAAAAATTCCGCCTTATACATTCCATTAATCATAACTTTCCATTTTGTCATCAAACACAAAAGACATTTATTTATATGATCAACCGGCGCCGTCGCCTTTGAGTTTTATGACCTTCGACAACGTCATTAATTCTCAATGTCCGCTCCCTCCAACATAGTATACTTTTTTGATGAAATACCTTGGTGTTAAAAACTGACTTAAACCATTTTGATTAAATAATTTTAAAGAGCTAAATCCACGAAGGGGCTAAATCGGCCCTGTCATCAAAATAAATGAAACTTTCTCACATAAAACTCTAAGATTTGTATGTTTTAAAACAATTTATTTTTTAACAATATCTCTTCTGGTTTTCTTTTTAAACATTTCAGCATAACGATGAGTTAAATATAGATCAGCTACTTGAAGGAAAAGTCTTGGTTCAGGACTGAGGCGCGTAGTACACAAAACGTCGACATTATTGCATCTACATGCAGTCATGCTTAGCGAGAGTTTTTCGTACTTTTTTGCACCACAAAACAAAATAACTTATAATAAATATAACATTCGCATTTCGAAACTTTTTAATATTTACAAAAACAATATAGAATCTTTTTCTTTTCTATTAATGTAGGGTAATCCCCGCTATTTTCACTGTGTGAGTCGGTGCTAAGATATTTGAATCGAACGAAAAGTATTTATTTCGATGTGGCCACACCCCTTGAACAAAATAAAAATATACTTTATTTATTCATATTTTAATCCTCTTTTCAATGGTATAAATTTTATTTTGTTCGAAGGGTGTGGCCACAGCAAAAATTTGAACCAAAGACGAAAAAAATGCTTAATTTTGATAAAAACTAGCAAAGTGCACGTGTTTAGACGTTTTCTGTACAAATATGACGTCATCAAATAAAAAAATTGGCATAAACTATTTAAGTTTGATACCCAAGGATAATGTTTCTATTGTTAATTTTCTTCTTCCCCTCAGTTTAATTTTCCTGGAAAAATAGGCCGATTTAGCCCCTTCGTGGATTTAGCTCTTTCATGAACGGTTGATTTTAAAATACAATGTTGTAAATCGATATGCACAAAAGATAAAGTCGTCACTTGATTTTAGTAGTTAAATCCGCTTGTCAGAGTTTAATTTCTACCGAATATATATGCAACGTTTTTTTTTCGACATGACTGACTTTTTGAAAGCCCGGGTTACGTCTCGGCAATTAATGTATCTTACCTCTCCACTGTATCTTTTTGTGACAATTATAGGAACACGTTATCTGGACTTATTTTGTCTATCTCTAGTTTGTTCAAAAATTCTCAAAACTATGCGAGTTTCTCCAGAGTGAAACTTTAAATTGCGACAAAACGACAATCATTCCACCCCCTTTTGGTGTCATTTTTAACCGTTAATTTTTCTAAAAATTTCTCTAATTTTCGCTATGATCTCAGAGAACTGCCAAAAATGGGTAAAAATTATCAATTTAATGGAGCAATTGTGTCACATCACACGGCTGAATTCACGAGAAAATTTAACAAAAAAAAAATGCTCATTACAAAAGGGTTTTGTCTTTGATAGACTTTCGGTAGAAAAACGTTGTATTCTGAGGTTGCGCTGAGTGGTCATATCATTGCTTACGAAAACAGGGACAGTTTATGAAAAGATAAGCCATGCGTACAATAGATTTTTTTCTGTAGACAGATAAGATGATCATTAATAAATATGTGATAATTCATTCATTTTGATGTACCATCAGCTGTTTTAATTTTACGGCTCCAGCCCACGAAGTTTTTGTTAACCCCTCGTATGAATAGAAGTCACCATTGTTAATTGATAAAACGTCGTCGATATATCTGAATGTCCAGTTAAAGGTTATAGCAAGTTTTTTCTCCTTATGTAGAAGTTTTTGAATAAATTATGCTTCATAGGGATATAAAAACGGGTCGGCTAATAAAGGAGCACAATTACTGCCTATCGGTATTCCAACGGATAGTTTGTTGGAAGACCTGGTCTCCAAAGACTACGTAGATGTTGTTAATGAGGGATTACACTATGCATCCTTTTAATATCAATTTCAAAGTACTTGTGTGTAGAATCAGAGGGATTTTTAACAAAGTACGTAATTTTGCTGATGGCCAATCACAAGATATGAAAATCTCCGAGTTCCATTTTTATTGAAGAAGCAGTTGTATCTATGATGATATCAAAAAACTTATTTTTTAATTTAGGAATGGTTGTATAGTGTCTAGAAAAGCCATACGTTTTCATGTTACAGACCTTTGGAAAATTTTGTGCTTTTAAAACCAAAAGTTCTTTGGAGTTTTTGAGAATCCACATCTGATTTACACCACTTCTACAATATGCTGTAGCACAGTACGTGTGAAGTATCTCCTTTACGGCAGTTAATATTTCAGTGAGGAGTAAAGATAGGGACTTGGTAGAGCATTTGCTGGACCCGGTAATTTATCCTTGTAAGGATTTTTACGAAGTTAAGGAATACGTACGGTAGATCTAAATAAAATCAAATATGAAACTTAACAATCTTAGAGGCACAGTCATCGTACGGATGAGTGTATTTAAAATCAGTAATATTTTTATTGTTATGATTAAACAAATCTTTGTTTGTCAAAATTAATTACACGTATACTGAATGAGTGAAAGTAACACCTGCTAGATCTGTCCGATGGTTAAGTGGATATTTTAGTAATTGTTGAGCCCTGGCATCTTTACACGGTCTGTATTCCTCAATTTAAAATATTTAGTGCATGCCATGCCAATTCAGAAATCAAGCGTATCAAATGAAGGCAAATTATTTTACTTTACAATATGAAAGTAGTGTAATTTTTACAATTTTTTTACAATAAAAGCAAAAAAATAAAGACATTATACATAAGTTCATTATTACACATAATGAAACATTGAAAATTCATTAATGAACGTCAGTCATTAAGTTAGCACGAAAAAAAATTCGAATGTCTGCAATATTTCATAGTCAGAAGACTGGCATTGTTATGTCTATATTTACACCACAGTTTCTTAGTTACTTATCTAATGAGTTTGCCAGCGGCATCTGTTTTGTTGGAACATCATTCAATGTATTTTATTTTCATAATTCTTCTAACATTCCTGAGTCCTGACAATTGTTAAGAATCGATTAAGGCATTCCAGGGCATGTGTTTTGTCTTGCTGTTCGTCATCACAAGAAAATATTGTTACACAAAACACAAATGTGGCCGTTGTCAGCATGAACACACACAAGCAGCTGTTACCGGATACGGTACCTTTTTCCATCTGCATTTTACACCGGGAAAACGACTTTTCTTCTGATTTTCTTTGTTTTTGTCGGTTTTGTTTTTGTTTTTCCGGCGTTTAGAGCCTTTCCGTTTTCTCTTGCAAGTCCACCTCAAAAGTTTGATGACTTTACTTCGGGCAGAGGTGCAATACATTCCCGCCGGAAAAGAACACGACACTTCCGTATTGCAGGAGCCTCGCTTTACCCACCGAGGCCAAAATAGGACGCTTAGGTCCTCCCATTCATACTCAACTTCACATGATCCATAGGTCATCATTCTTCTGAAGAATGACACAGTTTCATCAACATATTCAGTTGTATTTTCAATCTGAAATTTATAAGACTTGGTAAAGTTTTCAATATCCTCTAATATTTGAAGTCGTATGTGGTTGGGTCCAACGACACTTATTTCTTTTTCTTTCTCGATTGGTTTTTGTATAGACATCCAAAACTTGTCAAAGTCATTTCCAAGTCTTCTTCTCAGTCGTTTTTCTTTCAGCTGTTTTCCTTTTGGAACATATTGCATAAGTCCTGGAAGCCGCCCAAACGGAGGGATTTTAATGACCGGTCTGCCATAAACAGTTTTATTCGGTAAAGCTTGTGAGAACTCGAGATTAGAGATCCTAGAAATAATGTCAGTATCACTCAATGTTTCAGAAAGTCCCCCACAAAGTAATACCAAAAGCGCAAGATAAACTCCCGCCATTATTATTCTGAAAAAGTAGTGAAATTTCATATTTTGTGTAATAGTTTTAAAAATTAGTTGTTAAAAAATACAATTATATCCTTAAGCGACTATTTAAAATAAAAAAAAAGGTGAAGCACTCTTTTATTATCACTACCTTTCCTTAAATTTCCTTAAATTTCGACTTTCTTAAATTTTAATCTGCATTTCAAAACAATAAATTGGCCGAAGCGGATCACTGTGAAACCAATAGACACTATCACTTTTACACCTACCTTACATTTGTGTGTAAAAGAATCCCAGGCATTGGTGAACTGAAGCTTGTGAATTTATATACGTACATCAATTAACATTAATACACCGTTTTTGCCATCTATTTCTGCAGCACGCACGCATGTGATCAAGATATAATTATTTGTGCCAGATAGCTATAAAACAAATATGCAAAGGAACAAATAGTTAACCGAATAGTGATTTTTCCTCCTCTAGCTAGGTCTGCTAAGGCAGCTCGATTTTTAAAAAAAAGAAACTTAAAATATGAACCTTCACGTGTAAATTAGCAGAACTACAAAAAAATTCAAGTAGATTTATGTCAACATTAATTTTTCTCCCTTCTGTACACATACCGTTTAATGTGCACAATAATAATTGTAAGAAATTAAAACATACTGTTTTAAATATTCTTATTTACTCTAATCGTTATTGGCTACGGTGTATGTTAAGAATGTCGCAAGTTTGAAGTAAGGAATACAATTAACCGTGTTTACTTTTCTATAAAAAATGAATAGAATGTTAATCGAAAGTTTTACACCTAGGATATGATGACCTTTTTTTCTTTTCTAAAACAATTTTTGAAGACATTCATTATTTTAAAAGAAATCATTGTATTCATGCTTTGAAATTTGAATGAAATCTTTGCCTGTATTTATCCCCTTACTATATCTCGTAACAAAGAGAGAATCTAGAACACGAATTTAGAGGCTCCAAAGAGAATCCCTGTGATTATTTTCACTAATTAGAAGATCTTATGACGTAAGATATTAATTAATCTAAAGAATGGTAAACATAAGAAATACTCACGCATTACCATAGAGATGAAGTTGATCCGCATCGCTCGCAGTGCAGAGAGCATTGTGACAAAAATGTCTGATTATCCAGCACCAAGTTCTACATAGTTAATGATTACTTGCGGGACATCACGTACTTGCCTAACAAACGATCAATTACATTGGGGTTTGATTAAATGTGCAAAGCTTTTGGGTGAAGAAAGGAACAAAAACCTGTATTCAACCGTTATCTCTCAGAATGAAATCTGATTGCATCAACTGCAATCAGTTTGAATTAATCTCTTTGGATAAGAACTCCGACAATGACACTGCATCTTGAGATGATGAAGGTTGTCTAGTTACGTCAATAAAATACGTCAGTTTCTCAACAGTAATCCTATAATGATGCTCATTTTAAGTTTTTTTTTCAGTCTCATTCCGTTACTGGAGGTTTGTACTTGTTTCTCGTTTTTGCATACTAACTTTGATCATGTAATAAAAACTATCAATTTTAAGTGCACCATGGCTATCTTGTTGAAGAAAGTTAATAAATAAATTATGTGGTAGTATAGTGTAAATATTAAAATAATAAAACTTCAATCAAAATTTCCTATCGGCGACTTTAGTGTATAGTAAATTTTCCTTCGAAGAAAATTTTGTTTTACTAGTACACATATATTTTAATCTGCTTAACTTAAATATATAAATATTGTTAAACGGTTATCTGGATGGACCATCGTCACTAAATATTAACATTTACTATAAACCAATGTAATTACGAGATTTGATCAAAAAGTTCGCGAACTAATTGAATAACTTTCATAAAAGAAATCTAATTGGGTGTTATTATATATAGTGTTATTATTTTTTTTAAAGTGTATGTACACATGCAACCGTTCTGCCCATGCAGGAAACACGTGGTCCAGGCGGTCACGTGACATATTCTGTAGCGTACTGTTCACATCAGCCCGATGATTTTCCCGGGTCATGCAGGTTATTTTATATAACAAGAATAGTCCATTTGTCACAAATTGCAAAATCTCGACAATTTGATGGATGGGATTAGGATACCTTTCCCCAGTATAAGCATGGTGTCCATCACAACCCAACTCCTCTATCTTGGGTATGTCGCGTATCAAAGATTTACGTTAAAATCTACAGCCGTTCCTTGCTCGAGTGCGACTGAGTCAACCATTTTTGTCACAAGTCATCTACATATTGACGTCATTTTCACATGGTGACGTCATAAACATGGAGCAAAAATATTACTTCAGGTTAGCCTGGTTCCCTGACCCTGTTATGCTTCGTATACTCCGCAACACTAGATGAGCCAGGGATCCAGGCTATACTTCAGGTATCATGACACTCGTGAGATTAGTTATATGAAGGATTTTATGGGAATTGTATTTCAGATAAGTACTCTTATAGCATGATTCTAAATCGCAGAGAAAATTGGGGGGTCCGTGTGCATCTTACTGAACAACGATATAAATTTGACCTTTTTGCACTTAAATTGTACCTCTCATGTTAATCACTTTAATCTTTATCATATTTTATCAGATATAATCATGGCAATAAATATAACCTTATTTTACGTAAAATAGACTGAATAATAAGTACCATTGAACAAATCATACAAATTAATGTGCATAAATTATTGAATGACCTTTTTGCATATTATATTTGGGGTATTAAAACTCTAAATATGCAATAAAATATATTCGTGTATCAAACTTTTAATGACTTAAGTGCCGACTGGTTGAAAGTATCGTGTAGTTTTAAATAATGAAAGAAAAAGTTCGGATCAGTGATGTAAATTTTGAGATATTGGTCATACAAATGCAATGGACAGCTGTCTAGGTTTCAGGTATTCAATATTTACATTTATTATATAGCTAATACATAGTCTAATAAAGTACTAAAAGTCTAGAGAATTTTAGCGTTCAATATCTTGGCGTTTTATAGAATGCTGACTTTGTGTTACGTATATGAGTATGCCCGAAACATTCCGAATACGAGTAAACAAAATATGTCGTCTGGTTAACCTCTTAAAGGCACATTTATGATATATGTAGTGGCAGCTAGGTAAGATGAGTTTTTTTTTTTCACATAAAATTGAAATCATTTATTAATAATTCAGTACGTATTAGCATCAATAAAACTCCAATATTGCAAATCATAACGCTTGGTAGGTTTAATTGGAATGATGCGATATTGAACACAGGACAGACGTTAATTTAAATACAAATATAAATACCGATACTGAAAAATTCTTTATAATTTGAGATATTGAATTGAAATAATGGATATAAATCAATGGGATATGTTTTAGCTGTATAACAAAGGAGTTATTGAACTTATATTGGTGAATATTGGCACTCGTTGACTCTACAAATGCACTCGCAACCTCATGCATTTGTACAACCAACTCGTGCCAATATTCACCAATATAAGTTCAATAACCCTTTTATAGGCTTTTGTCACTTGCTTAGTGTACAATTGTATCTAGTATTGAAATACTTGTTATGGTCTGGAAAAGAAGAGGATACATTGCTTTGTTAGTAATATGTTTAAAAATGCATGTTCACAGAAAATTTATTAAAGGTAATTTTATAGGACTTAAAAAAGTATATATCCTCTGTTCATCAATAATTCACAGAGCTGAAACTCAAAATACAAATTTAACACATCACCTATAATGTAATATATTCCCCCATATAATACGTCAAATCCAAACCGTTTACGCTTAGATAGTAGGTTTACTATAGGGGAAAATGTTATTGCTATATAAAGTTAACTAAGGATGGGGTCATTCATGTACATACTGTAGGTCGAGCGAGGTGGAAACGTACCACCTTTTTGTACTCAATATTAATGAAACCATGAAGGTTACAGTGTAGTTGGGACATTTTGCACAAAGGATAAATTTAATGGTCGCGAGTAAGTTTGATATAATGAACCCTAAAGATTAAAATTATTGGTAATATGTGTGCGCACTACTATTTTTGAGGACTTTTCTTAACGATTTCTACGCATTTTAAATGGAGAAAACACCTCAAAATAATACGTAGACTATTTACGAATTTTTTGACAGAAATTCAATATCAACCTGTGATTTCTGACATGCGATGGTTTAATATGTATGGAATGTATGTAGTAATTCAGTCCTAGCTTATAGCATAGGATATCAAGAACGTACACATTTACCTCATTTATGTCACGTCTTTCGAATTATGAGTGTTGCTTACTCTGCATTAACCCCAAACTAAGTTACAATACGATGTCTTGTCGAGTCCTGTTTAATATTAATCCCCCCCCCCCGCCCCCAATTTATTTGTTAATATATAGTTTACTATAGAAAAACAAAGCTAACATTTACAGTTGTAATGTCCTTTTTTGTTGAAAATCTGTTTCCAATGAATGGATTTATAGTGCTTAAAGCAGGGTTATACTTAATCTGTTTGCTGCATCTGTGGAGGACGTTCCTTGGTAAGAATGGTGTAAGGACGCGGAATAAGTGAAATCACTGATGTGTAAAATATAAAGGATACTATAGGTCTGAATAAGCATTAGTGTATAGGTTGCATCAACTGGTCGAGCAGGGTAATTAACGTTGACATTGGAAATAACGGCTGCACAAGTATGTACCCCGGTGTCAAAGTGAGCTAGAGACACCAGTTGGTTAGAGACCTCTGTCATTAACCTAGACCATTGGTTAGGTCAGTGGTCCGGAGGCATTGGTTTAAGGTTAGGACAAAAGACAGAAAAAATTTAGCGTGATTTTTCTCTTGATTTTCTTCTGACTAGAATCGAATCATAGTAAATGTATTCATTATAAGTAATTTTTTAAAAGAATAATTACTGTTTATATATTGTCTAGGTAAACAAGATATTTTTGTTCTGTTAAAAATTGTACATCTCAACAAACTTTTTAACCTTACATACTTTTGTGAACTATAATTAAATGCACATTTTGGAAATAAAAACATTGCTAATAAGCAAAGACGGTAATAATAGATATGATGAATTTTGCAATTTAAGTAAAGTTTCATAAATTAAATTTACTTTCTAGTACGTAGTTGCTTCCCTTTTAGCAAGAGTAACAACCGAAATGCAATTAGACAAGTAATTTTATTGAGTAATTGTTCAGACGACGAAAAGAATTCTGGATTAGAAAACTAGGCATGGCCTTTCCATATGGTACATGAACGAAGCAATGACAATGTCGATAGTGTTAAGCAATGTGAATGTGATGGGACTTTTTAATATATTCGATCAGTGCATATTTTTTTTTTTTAATATATTCGATCAGTGCATATTATCTATTCAAGATATATTACTAAAGTCAGGTACTCTTCACACAATTGCTCCGACGAAAATAGTTCCATTCATGATCAGTATATACAAGATTACAACAAATGTTAGGAATAATGATGTATATTTAATACGTTAAAGAAAACAAAATTAATGTAAAAAGATTTTAAGAAAATCACCCTTTCCCCAGAAAAGCA